GCTTATCAGCAGACGGTGTGTTCTGCGGCGTAGTCGAATACTTCAGGCAGAAAGCGTGTATATCCTCTTGTAGTGTTGCATAAGCTTCACTCTCTGTCAAGAAGATACGCAACGCCCTTAGATCTCCCATGTTTGCGTCATCGACTGTTCGTTCCGTTGTCTCTTCTTCGGAGCTATCGTCAAGCTCCTTGCTTGCCTGTCCGTAGTGAATTCCAGAAGCATGTGACGAGTGGCTCATATCTTCTCCACTCGCGACACATCGCGCAGCGTGACGTGCCTTTGCGTTGACAAGACGACAAGCTAGAAATTCAAGGTGGTCGTTCGCTTCTTCTTTGAGATGTTCCGCAAATGACTTCAAGGCTCCGCGGATATGTCTTCGCAGTCGGTTGGGTCCGATCCTGATATCGTTACGAGCAGACTCGTACAGTGGCGCGAGTAGCTCATCGTCCCGTACGATAGAGACGAAGACTCGTGTTGCAGTTTGTATCTCTTCGATCGAGAACCCGCTTTCTTTGGAAAACGCCGTTATTGAAGTTGCCAAGGTATCTGTTGAGAAAACAGAACCTAGAGTTGTCGATGTTGTTGACATGTTATCTTCATCGTCCACAGTGGAGGTCCCTAAGTACATGCCCTGGCTATGCAGTACTGGAGCTGAATCCGACACCCGACCCAGTGCCACATCGCGATCGTCTTCGTTATGTTCTGCTGATCCTTCTTTGAGATTTGATTCGTAACCGACCTTGTCAGCATTGGCCTCAGAGGTGAAATCTTCACTCCCTCCAGCGTAGGTGGTAGGTCGTTTATAATGACGGTCATCAAATTCTTCGTCCCTGCAGAAGCCACACTTCTTATGGCTACATGTGACACATACACTATGCCAAGAAGCAATGGGACCGTCGTTGCAGTCTGAACAGAACCACACGAAAGCTCCCATAGTGGATTCGGGTATCCGAGGAGGCTGTTATGGGAGGGATCGTGATGCGCACCGATCTTAACGTTGGGTTTGAAAAACCTGCAAACGATCCAAGTAAGAATTCGCATCTTGGCTGCGCATCAGGCTGAAGGCTGAATAGCTGGAAATGGCCAAGCAACTGCTGCATGGGAGACTCAGCCTTGTGGCTGCTCATAGTGCGTTGAGTCTTTGGCGAGCGACAACAAGTAGGCCGCCGTAGTATGGTGCATGTATCAAAGAGATCCTTACGATACCCGGGTATTGGAAACCACCAGGATATCATTCCGTAAGGGTTGTAGCGATAGGAGTTGCTGTGTGCTGCAAGTGCGAAAGGTGGTCGACGGTAGGTCCAGCATTCTGCATCGAGTAACGCGCTAACTGCATTCGTTCTACCTCGGCTCAATCATCACAAGCTCCAACCGACTCGCCCGCCCAGTTCGTCGGAGCCGACGACATCTCACTCCTCATCTTACGGACGTAGCGGCACTTTGCTTGACATTGATATTCGACTTCCCGAGCAAGAGCTCTCTACCAACTTCATATAACGGAAGAGAAAGAGCAAGGAAACACAACCTCGGGATAGGCATCAGGCGAGACCACGCGATCACGAAGCAACAATGGCGGAAGCATACCAGAAAGAGTTCTTCAATGTCTCGTTCCCAGCGGAATATGTTGCGCATGTTGAAATCAACCGGCCGGAGAAGCTGAACGCTTTCAAAGAGGTGTAAGTACACACATCTCTGTATTCCCGAAGGTCCGGGCATAGGTAGGGCGTCAGCCCTGGAGGGTATACGCGTATCACGTGTCGTAATGAAAGAGAAGGACACACATTGGTATTGCGATACTGTGCCAAAGGTTTTACCTTGAGCATGTTGTACCATCGATACTCAGTTCATCCTCGGCGTCCACGCCATATCACACGCAAAATCCCGAACTAATCCCTACCAGCATGTGGCTAAACCTCTCCACCATCTTCCGCCAACTCTCCCACGATCCCTCCGTCCGCGCCGTCCTCCTAACCGGCGCCGGCGATCGCGCCTTCACCGCCGGCCTAGACGTGCAAGCCGCCTCAGAGAACGGCGCCCTATCCACGCAAGCCGACATCTCAGATGGCGCCCGCAAAGCCAACGCCCTGCGCAGGCACATCCTAGAATTCCAGTCCTGCATCACCGACATTGAGAAATGCGAGAAACCCGTTATCTGCGTACTGCACGGCGTGTCGTTCGGTCTAGCGCTGGATATGAGTCTAGCGTGTGATATCCGTGTGAGTACGACGACGACGAGGTTTAGTGTGAAGGAGGTGGATATAGGACTTGCGGCTGATATTGGCACTTTATCGCGTCTGCCTCACTCTGTGGGCAATCTATCCTGGGTCAAGGATATCGCGTTGTCGGCGAGGATCTTTGGGTCAGATGAGGCGTTGCAGCATGGGCTTGTGTCGAAGGTGTACAAGGATAAGCAGGAGGCGGTTGCGGAGGCGACCAAGTTGGCGACGTTGATTGCGTCAAAGTCGCCCGTGGCGGTGCTGGGGACGAAGGAAATTATCAACTACTCCAGGGATAGGCCGATTAGTGAGGGCTTGAACTACACGGCTGTGTGGAATGCGGCTATGTTGCAGACGGCGGATGTCAAGGATGCGATGATGAGTGGGTTGAAGAAGACGAGCCCTAAGTTCAGCAAGCTGTAGAAAGGCAATCGCATGTGTTTTGGAAAGAACCTGGGATGCGATTATCATATGAAAGACTTTTATCCCATACCACATCCGAGCGGCGAGACACACTTCGTTCATCGCGGAGTACGTCTCAGTGAGCAACCTTAACATTCCATAGCCCACACACGAAAACATAAACCACCACGCATGGCAAGCAACCACTTTTGGACTTGAGAATTTTCATTGACTCTAAGCGCCTGGACGTGGTAATGCCGGAAGAGTCCCAAACCCATCCCGCATGAGCATCAATCATAACCCATGGCATGCTACAGAAGATGTGGAATCGTGATTTTCCCGTTACGCCCCGTTGCACTACCCAACATGCACTACCTTATCCCCTCGCCATGACACCCCAGCAGCGGATACGGTTGTCGGTGTATCCGGCGAACAGGGTCTGGCCGTCGGCGCTCCAGGCCAAGGAGACACACTCGGGCTCCCGGCTCTTCTTGCCAACCTCCATGTACTCAGGCTTGAGCTCGTCAACCTTGGACTTCTTCTCCAGGTCGAAGATGATGATGCTGGAGGCGGTGGCAGCGCACAGCCAGTAGCGGTTGGGGGAGAAGACAAGGGCGTGGATCTCGTCACCGGCGGAGAGAGAGTAGAGGTGCTTGGACTCGTTCAGGTCCCACAGCATGGTGGTTCCGTCCTTACCACCGGAGGCGCAGAGGGAGCCATCGGGCGAGATGGTGACGGTGTTGATGTAACCGGTGTGACCGATGTGGTCGGTCTGGATGCGGCAGGAAGCGAGTTCCCAGACCTGGATATTGTCAGCTTCCCGAATTTGAAGTGGCTTGAAGCAGATCGAGTGAGTAGCGTAAATCAGTACTAGGTGATAATTGTCTCATAGCCGAAGCTCTGAAGTAGCAAATACATAGATATTCATCATATAAACAAGGAAACGGAGGAATTGGTGTAAACGCGGATGTACGCACCTTGACGAGCTTGTCCCAACCAGCAGAGACGATGACGGGGTTCTGGGGGTTGGGGGAGAAGCGGACGCACGATACCCACTCGGTGTGGCCCTTGTCGGTGATGGTGTACTTGCAGTCACCGAGGGTGTTCCAGAGCTTGATGGTTCGGTCGCGCGATCCGGAGACGATCTGGCGGTTGTCGGCGGAGAAGGAGACGGAGAGAACGTCGTTGGTGTGGCCGACGAAGCGGCGGGTGGTGACACCGGTGGAGAGCTCCCAGAGGCGGAGGGTCTTGTCCCACGATGAGGAAAGAGCGTAGGCGCCGTCAGAGGAGATGACCTGTGCAGCAATTGTCAGCTCAGCCGTCGTCGCTTCCTAGCTAGCCAATTGCCCAATTTTGTGGTGAACGTACACAGTCGGAGACAATGTGGGAGTGACCGTGCAGACTCCTCTTGGGGTAGCCGTAGGAGGTCTCGTCGCGGGTCAGGTTCCAGATGATCAGAGTCTTGTCGCGCGATCCGGACAGGAGCATGTTGGGGCTAATCGCGTGTCAGTATTGCGCATTCGTGCATTTTCCCTCTTCCCGCGTATACGCACTTCTCCAGGGAGGTCGCCAGGGAGGTGACCCAGCCGGAGTGGCCCTCGAGGGTGCCACGGAGTACGAGTTGCTCGGCCATGATTGCGATGAGTGGCTTCTGCTTGGGATGGACGTAGGCGCACTCGGGTGTTAATAGTTGTTCGTCGAAGAGCACTGCGCACAAAGGCTGGAGGCTTCAAAATTCCAAGGTTGATAGGCGAACCACTAGCGCTGTTTGGGATTAGCGTGGACCATCAGCACTGATGCCCTTACTCGACATTCGACCTCACTTGGACGTGACACTGTCAAGCCACTAAAAAAGTACCTGTAGTGAGTGCAGCCCTGATGAGTAGTAGCTCAGCCTACGACGCCAGTCCACGCGATATCTCATTCTCAGCAACTCACTCCAAAGTCAAGTATGAGGGGTAGTCAATATACGTGCCCGAATCTCACCTCTGCAACACGTTCATGCTATCGCCTGCATTATTTAGATACTCGCGTCGACTTGTTCTTGAAAAGATTACACCAGCGCATAGTTTAGGCTGGGCAACGCATCTCTACTCGTTCCTTCCTTGACTTGACTTCCATCCAAAGCCGACTAACTCCGGTCTTCCAAGTCTTATCTCCGCGCTACTTCCCCACCATAGAAACATATACACAAGCATAGAAAAGCATACCTCGCATGTGATAGATGATGACCTGATCTTGTTCTTGATCTAATGCGATAACTCATACTCACGCAAATATAAGAAGAAGGCTCTACCTGACGTACAATCCTCCACTTGCTTCCATTAAGATAACATCCATCCCATAATACCCACCAACCACACCATCGAACATTCCTCCAAAATGACAGCCCCTCCAACCCGGATCCTCCTCCTCGGCGCCGGCGAACTAGGCACAGCCTTCCTCCCTCACCTCTCCGCCCTCCCCAACACTCACATCACCATCGGCATCCGCTCCCCATCCAAATACACTCACCTCCAATCCCCCAACATCTCCCTCACACCTATCGACCTCTCTTCACCCTCTCCTGACCTCGCACAAATATTCTCCGCATACAACATCCTCATCTCCGCCACAGGCTTCGGCGCCGACCCCTGCAGCGTCCTCAAACTCGCCGAGGAAGCCCTGTCGGCCGGCAAGATCAGAAAAGAGCAGGGGAAAGGGAAATTATGGTTCTTTCCCTGGCAGTGGGGGGTTGATTACGACGTCATTGGTGATGGGGAAGGTATGATGCCGTTGTTCGGTGCGCAGCGCGATGTGAGGAATTTGTTGCGGCGGAAGGCTGAGGAGAGTAATGTCAAGTGGACGGTCGTTAGTACTGGGATTTTCATGTCGTTCCTTTTCGAGCAGTTCTGGGGTATCGTGGATCGGAGTAAAGAGGAGGAAGGGAAAGTGGTGGTAAGGTGTCTGAGGGACTGGGATCACAAAGTTACTGTTACGGATGTGAATGATATTGGACGGGTGTTGGCGAGGATTATAGCGGGGGATGTGGAAGCCAGGGACCGTGTATTGTATATTGCGGGTGATACGATTAGTTACAGGCAGCTGGCTGAGATTGTCAAGCGGGTGAGCGGGAAGCAGGTTGGGCAGGAGGCGTGGAGTATTGAGCATTTGAAGAAGGAGCTTGACTTGGCGCCAGAAGATGGTATCAATAAGTACAGACTGGTATTTGCCAGGGATGGCGTGTGGTGGGAAATGGACAGGACGGTGAATAAGGCGCTGAGCATGGACATGATGGATGTTGAAACGTTTGCTAGAAGTCTGTTCAGTAGATAGAAGGTTGTCGGTAACCGAAAGTAACGAGCGTGTTGTGAGTTTCGATATAGATTTCGTAAACCGCATTACGTATAATTACTGATGAACTCTTTGACAAGTAATACTACATGAGCGTGAGCCGAAAGCATCGCGACAGCCTGGGGATGGGACGTACTTGTTCCCATGTGCCTTCACAGCCGTCTTGCTCTCGCTTCCCCTAGCGTATGGTCTCAGCCTGCGCTATACCCTCTTAATCCGTGTCGGGACTATAGCATTTGCGCCGGTAGCTGCTCCACCTCCTTCTCGTCCACCACCCCTCATGGAAACTCCGGGTATATCTTCATCGTTCTGCCTCTTTCTCTTCATTCCCGCCTCAAGGGCCTCAGCTGCGTAGTTGTCGTGACCAAAGGCAGGTATCATTCCTCCATGTGCACCAGATCGCTCCTAACGTCCCGGTGGTCCAGGAGGGTATCTGCCAGGAGGTCCGCCAGGTGGCATTCCCATACCGCCTGGGGGTGGATAAGGCATTCCTCCAGGGGGTGAGCCTGCCTGTCCTGGTGGTGGGAATGGGAAGGGCGGCATTCCTTGGGGTGGGCCGCCTCCCATGTGGGGTGGTGGGAAGGGCGGCATACCGCCAGGGCCCGGGGGCATACCGTTTGGCGGAGGGAAGGGTGGCATTCCGTTGGGTGGCATTGGAGCTGTCGCGTTGTCAGTATGGGATCATGTATAGTATTTATGCGGCAACTTACGACCTCCACGGCCCATGAAATTTGGAGGCATTCCACCCATGGGTGGCATTCCTGGCGGCGGGAATCCAGGCATACCCATCGGAGGCATTCCCATTGGGGGCATCCCGCCCATAGGTCCTCCAGGGAAGCCACCAGCCAGGTTCTGTTGGAACAGCGGGTTGGCTTGTCCTTCTGTGTTGTATGCGTCGGTAATACTATTGATGACTTGCTGTGTCTGGTCGCTCGATATCTGCTCGTAGTAGGCCTGGACGTTGCGGAGGTGGTTGCGGCCGTTGTTGTGCGCCTTCCGCACGCTCATACTGTCGTGGGTGAGGTAGACATCGCAGTAGTCGCAGAAGAACTTCGGCATCGTGTATTAAGTGTTCGTCTGGGCGCAGAGAAGGGATATTGGGATTGATGGAGTTGGTAACGAAGTTGCGCGTGGAGTCCGGAGCGCGTCGCAAGAGCTAGAACTGGAAGAATCCCGTCGGCGATGGTTGCGCCGATGGTCTTGGCAAGCCTCATCGCCCTTTCACGTGTTCCGTCCTGAGTCCGCACCTTCCACATCACGCATCACTACCCACGCCATCTCGGATCGATGCAAACTAATCGCAATTCGAATTGGGCTCTTTACATAAACCCAACGCTCATGTGAGAGATCGCCCTCCACCCATATAGGCTACAAACATCGTCCTTTTGAATCCATCCACGGCTCCCTAAGGGACGCGTGCAACATGCTCTCGTCGATCCTTCCATCACCGTCCTTTATTTAGGATCATGAGCCGAAACCTCAATCTCCACCCTCATAGCATCCTCGCCTAGTTTGACAACGCCAACACACGTCCAGATAGGCTGATGATCCGGCATCCACTTCTTGAAATTCCGCACCATAGCCCCCAGGGCCTCGTTGTCCATAGGAATGTGGTAAGAGTTTACGCGGAACACTTGCGACCAACCCTTCCCACCAGCGGTCTTCAGAGCGAGTTCCACGTTCTGGAAAGCTTGGTCAATCTGTGCGTCGATGTCTGCGGGTATGAGTCTGGTCATGGGATCCCATCCACCTACAGGCGCAGTCATCAGTTTGTGGAGCTCAAGGAAGTCATGGGTATAAACTACCTTGGCCTGCACATTCAATGCGGTCGCCGATACGAACAGACTGGCTGTATCTGGTGTTTTCTCTGGCCGACTCGCCCTTTCCGGGGTAGGCGTAATACTGGAGATGCGACATGTTCTTGCGGCTACGGGTGTGTAGATTCAATATCTGGAGATTCCGTACGTATCGTAACATTGCGGTACCGCAGCATTTATAGGTACCAACATTGGCATATGACGCATATACTAATCCTATACAGTCCTGCTGACCAAGCTCGCAGGGAGCTATCGTTAGCTGCTTGGGTGGTCCCACGGCTCCTTCTCCGCTGCTCCGCTATATCACCGTTGTACTGCGCCATCGACAACACCACTCCGCCACGCATGATACGGACGATTTACAATATGAGGACTTGGCTTGACATACGTTGTTCCATCTAATTGGGTCGATAAATTGCGCAACGATGGAGCCCTGGGCTGCTGGCACGACAACTAGATAGACGTCTTTCACGACAACTCGACTTGCCCCATGGACTAGGAGGTGGCACCAACTACATCAACAACTTTCCCGACATATGGTGTCATATGCACGATGCATCGCGCATCTCACATGGTAACTAAATGTTGTCGTAAGCCTTTCCACACACCCGCTGCGAGCTGTCAGTACTGCACGTTGAAGAAGACAGGAAATGACATACTAGACGTCGCTCCGAGAAGTCTCTGCGAAGCTCCAACCACACGTCTCGGTCTGTACAATCCGACTCGCCTTCTGATAACGATCTGCATGACGGTTGTTGTCTTGCGACCTGATCCTCTGTCGCGTTCAACCACGGTTTTGGCAGCGGCCAGTCTGAAAAGTGGACGAACTTGGCTTCTTTCACCGCATCCCTTGCGTTCCATATTTCCGTCGGCGAACCGAGGTAGGCCTCATGCTGATCAATCTGGTGGCGAAATTCACCGGTCAAAAGATCGTATCTACGATGCGGTATCACTAGAGTTGAGGCACCGAACACCTTGTTCAAGATGTCCATATCGTAGTCGTGGCCCTCGTGGTGTTCCATTGCGCTTTGCACCCGCTGCCAGCTATCCTCCGATGGCTCGATGACTATGAGTTGGGACGATAGGAAGAATTGTTCAAGCCAGTATGCGCGAGGCATGGCAACCGGAGCCGTGGGAAGGAGGAAAAGCTCGTCCATATGCTACTGATCGTCAACACCGGTCATTGCAGCAAGCGACAGTTTCGCTCGTCGACGGGGATAGGCACGTACATTCAAGAGCGTCGCGTCCGAGTCTAAGGATATGACGCGCTTGTATTGTGTCTGATTCCACGCTAACAGTTTCGTGTAGCTGTCTTGCCATGTCGCATCCTTCTCATTGACATACGTCCTTACTTGGATAGGGCTCAGCTTTGCGTGATACTGGTCCCGAGCTTGAGCAAGTAGCTTGCCTTCATAGTCGGTTGGAGGTGCGTCAGCATCGAGCACGCCTTTGGGCACCTTCCACTTCTGTGGATACAGCATAAGAAGGTCGGCTCTCGTCCCTTGTCGTCTGAGCGCCTCAAAGATCATGAGAGAGTTGCAGAGGTAGTTCGAGTTTGTTACATACTGTACGTATGCGAAGTCTGACCAGACGATGCTCTCGTCTGTGATTGGCATCGAGCACTGCAATGACTCTGTTATGGAAGGAGGGTTGTGTTTGGTGAATTGTCGGAATTGGGTTGGAAGTCGAGCAACATGCTCATCGTACCTTACTAAGACACCCGCGAGCAGGAGAAGGCCTCCTGCCATGAAAACAAGACGCAGCTTACGTGCCGAAAGCGCATAATGGAGACGCACGGAAAGTGGTATATGCGCCCCTCGACCATGGCATGAAAAGGAGGGCAGAGCGGAAGAGTTTGAAGACATGCCTAACGTACAGACGATCCTTGAGCGTTGCGAAGTAAACACAAGAACTGAGAGTGCGTGGCATGGAGCGTCGCTGGATGCTTGCAAATGTAAGTCGTGGCCACTTCTCACTCCCTCGAGAAGACACTGCGGACGAGATTACCTGCAGCAAGGCACACTCCAAGACGAAGGCTGACTACATGCTTTCGGGGAATGACCGCATGACGACAACAAGAAGGTTACATTGTCGGCGGAGTACGTCTTGTGCGAGGCACAATGCTAATGTTATAGCACTTCAGGACCGATGTATGCACCGAGAACAGCGTCATTGACCAATCGTGCAAACCTCGGGCCCCGCCTGTGACTTCATTCGAAACGCCATGTAGGTCGTTATCCGTTCCAACCTACATGGATCGGAACACTCGTGTCACCCACGGGTGGGGTAACCTCTACATACCGGGCCGCTCTCACTATGTATAGCAGGCTAGTTTGATCGTAAAGCGTCTTGTCAAAGTTACCACACGGCTCTTGATAGTATGCTCATAGGTTATCCGATGCCTCAACGATCTTTCATCCAGCTCGGATTCAACTTCTTGGTCTTCTTCATACTTTGTTCGGCTGCGCAGCGCCACCTCGACGTACCATGGAGTGACAGGAAATATGGTCCCGATGGGCCATGGCAGGCCGTGCGAGTAACGTTCGGAGGCAACGACACCAATCTGAAGATAGGAGGTCAGAACCATGCCGACGCCGACGTCTATCCGGGAGGGACGTTTGAGAGTTTCGTCTTTAGCCGATCCGCTTGCGATCCTTTCCCGGACAGTGCCTGTGGGGAAGGAGGAACGTGGGACCCCGAAGCCGGTGCAACAAGCTTCATACCAGCGAATGGTTGGCATCCTACTGTCAAGTTCCCATCATTCGGCCTAGTAGCAGGCCCCGCGAACTACACGGACCGAGCATTGACCATTGGCGGCGCGACTGTCTGGAACGCCTCAATCATGCATACAAATTCGGGCAATATCACGGCATTCGACGGCAAGGTTTCAGGGATGAGGCTCGGCTACCTAGGCCTTGGGGCTGCAGAGCAAGTGCAAACCTTCTCGGTGAGCGACAGTGTGGCGGGACACGATGTCTCGCTCAACGTTTACAACGGAAAGCTATACAAAGATGGCATCATCGGTTCATACTCATATCTACTACATATTGGATCCGCGGCGTTCGACTACCCTGGCTCGTTGGTCTTCGGTGGCTACAACAAAGGTCGCGTTATAGGTCCGCCAACGTCATTTCGGGACCAGGATAAAGTCGACCTCCTTGACAT